CACCACACCCCTGGTCTGGGGACTCCTCACTCTCTCCTGGCTGCCACCAGCCCCTATGGTTTGAACCCCACCCACAGCCAAAGGGGTTCTAGTAAATCACATGATGTCCCTGTGCTGCCCCAAATCCTCTGTTCCCTGGGAGTAAAAGCCAACTCCCTGTAGTGACCAGCAGGGCCCTTCCTCCCTGACTTCGCTTCCCACCTTTCCCCTCCATTTCTGTGCCAGCTTCACTCCAGCCTCTTTGCAATTCCTTGAACAGGCCAGGCAGATGCCTGCCTCAGGGATTTTGCCAGGGCTGTTCCATCTGCTCAGAAGGCTCCCCCTCACCCCAGAAGTATCCATAGCTCTGCCCTTCATCCCCTTCAGGTTTTTACTCAGAAACCACCTTCCCAATACCTGACCACTCTGTTTTAAATTGGAGCCCCCTTCCTTGACCCCTCTGTCCTTTCTATGCACTGTTTTTCTCCATAGCACTTTTTCTCAAGTGACATATATTACTGTAACGTATTAGCTAGTCATCTGAATCCCTCCTCCCTCCCTGCTTTATCACCGGAGCCTACACCGGGGTGGGTCATAGAACAGTCCGGTAATATGTACCTGCTGAAATGAACTGAGTCCATGTACAGCTGGTATAACCCCACAATCAGAACCTATCAGACAGACAGAACAATGTCCATAACTGATAGAAACTCCCATTTGCAATGTGGCTCTCATACGGACAGTGGAAACCCCCAAATAGTGCAATGCTCAAAAACAGCGTGAACCCCAGTAGAGGCAGCACGACACTCATAAACCTCATACAGACAGGGTAACCCTCATAAATGATAGGAGCCCCATTCAAACAACCCAGCCTTCATAAACTTTGTGAGCCTCGTATAAAAGGGCAACCCACATAAATGGTGTAAACCTCATATTGCCAGTGTAACTCTCATAAACAGTGTGAGCCCCATATACATGGTGAGGCAGCAAATAAACAGTGTGGGTCCCCCTACAAATAGCGTATAGTCTCATTAGTGTGCCCCACCATAGAGGCAGCGTGGCTTGTTGAACACGTGAATTCCTCTATCAACAGGGTCAACTTGTACAACTGGGTAAACCCGTATGCACGGCGAAGACAAGCATATAAATAGGGTCGTTTCTATAACCAGTGTGACTTTTCATGTGAACAGTGTAGCCCCATAGTCATAGGGCCTCATGCAGTGTAACCCATGGACACTGTGCCCTCACGTGGACAGTGCCGCCTGCCTCAGTGGACCACTCAGTGAACAGTGTAGATTTCACAAGGGTTGCAATAGGGGTGCCTGGGTGGCTCAGCTGGTTAAGCATCTGACTTCAGCTGAGGTCATGTTCTCAGGGTCCTGGGATCGAGCCCCATATCAGGGTCCTGGGATTGAGCCCCACATCGGGGTCCACGTGGGGGGTGTCTGTGCTCAGCGGGGAGTCTGTTTCTCCCTCTCCCTCTGCCCCTCCCCCTGCTTGTGCAGGCACTCATGCACTCTCTCTCTCTCTCTCTCAAATAAATAAAATCTTTTAAAAAATCCAATGGCTGCAATAAACCTCAATGTCACTATGTCAGTTTTAAGTCATTGATAATGTAGCCCTTTTCCATAAACAGGGAGAAAACCCATGTTCCATTTAAGCCCCCTAGGCCTTTGTAACCTTCATAAAATTATATTATCCACCCCCCTCCCCAAAGTCCTAATTCTCCCATTAAAAGTTACCCAACTGTCCTTCAACACACACATGTATTAAGACAGTAGGAGTCCCTGAAGGGTGGAGTAACCTGTCACAGACAATGAGGTCCCAAATACAGACAAAGAAATGGTGAATTCGTGAATGGCAAGGATTTCCCAGGGCCCAACACAGGATAAGCCACATAAAAAGCGCCCGTCTGGGATGCCTGGGTAGCTCAGGGAGTTGAGCATCTGTCTTCGGCTCAGGTCATGATCCCAGGATCCTGGGATCAAGCCCCGGATCGGGCTCCCTGCTCGGCAGGGAGTCTGCTTCTCCCTCTCCCTCTGCTCCTTCCACTGCTTGTGCTCTCTCTCTCCCTCTCTGTCAAATAAATAAATACAATCTTAAAAAGAAAAGCACCCCTCCTATTTACTGCGCACTTACTATATGCAAGGCCCTGGATTCAACATCTGATTACATTGTCACCTAAACTTTATCAGGTAGGTACTCCAATGATCCCCATTTTTCAGAGGAGGAGAGTGAAACTTAGGTTCCAGGCAACACAGTTAACTATGGTGACAGCTGGGACATCAAGTACTGGACCATAATGCCTCCTGATAGACTGACAAATGCCCCAAAGATATGCTGAACCCTGAAATACCTCCCCAAAACACTGCTGCCACCACCAGCAGCACCGCCAGCCTACAAACTGCAGACAAGGTGACCAGTAAGACTGAGACAGCATAAACTCTTCAGGCAGGGATAACCTCCTGAATACTAACGATCACACTAATAGCCAAGATTTTTGAGGATTGACTCTGCTGGAGACACTGTCTTAAATGCTTTGCACATATTAATTCATTACAACCCTATGCCGAGGTGGGTTTTTTTTTTTTTTTTTTTCCAATTATCCCTGTACAGATGTAGAAATGGAAGCGCAGAGGAATGAAATGACTCACCCAAAGTCACACAGCTGGGGAAGAAGCCCACCTAGCTGGGTTTGACCCCAGCAGCCTGGCTAAGCCTGTACTATCCTGCTTCCTGCAACATCACCACCGCCCCACCCCCCGGGCCGCTTCGCAGGACAGTGTAATTGCAGTGAACTGTAGAACTAAGTTAACTACAGTTTATGTAATTCTCCCAGGGGCAGGGCACGGCTCACTGTGCACACCTTTCCGTGATGACAGGGAAAATAGGCCTTAGACAGTATGAATTCCCATGGACAGGTCTCCTTCATGCATGGTGTAACTCCAATAAACAGTGAGGATTCCTCTGTGGACACTGGTTTTTGTTTTTTTGGTAGATTTTATTTATTTATGAGAGAGAAAGAGAGAGAGAGAGGAGCAGAGGGAGAGGGACAAGCAGGCTCCTCACAGAGCATGGAGCCAGATGTGGGGTTCGATCCCATGACCCTGAGTGGAAACCAAGGGACAGACGATTAACCGACTGAGCCACCCAGGCGCCCCTCCTCTGTGAACATTGTAAACTCACCATAGCCAAGACGTTCCTGAATGGGACAGCAGAGGCCCCTCTCACTACAGCAGAAAATACTCCCTGGGCAGGGTGAGTTCCTTCACGGACAGTACAGACCTCCACACCGACAGTCTGATTCTCCCTCACACCTGATGTGAACTGACTGCGGACGGTGAAACACCATCCCCATCAATGGAAGTCTCCCTCTAACGCAATAGAATCTCCTATGGGCAATGAGAACTCCCACCCAGTATGTGGTTCCCGTGGACAGTATGATGTCTCATATCCATGACAAAGTTAACAAGGACAGGGCACATTGCCACGTATGGGCAACCTTCTGCAGCTGCTGTGAAGCCCTTTCGTGACAGTGTGAACCACTCTCCAAGGGTCTACCTATGTAGGCAATGAGAACTCTCTGATGAGTATAAACTTCCCTCGGACCCAGCATCTGCCCAACGTACCCAGTCTAAACTGCCCTGTAAAAGTTCCCTCAGAGCCCACTCAATGTTTAAGTGCAAATTCTTCTAGAATGTCATTAAAACAGTATAAAATAAGATGGTTATAAAATAGTACGTGCAAGTCATAATATAATACTGTTAAGTAATTGTGTAAGATTCCTTCCCAGTGGAACTTGCAGACAGTGAAATTTCCCCCTCTCTCAAAGCAAATCTCCCGTGGACAGTGGACAGTGCATAATGCGTATCACCTTCAAACTCAGTGAACCCCACTGGACAACTGACATTTCTTCCCAGCCCCGCGGTGAACTGGCCATATGTCACAGGTCGTGGGAATGTTGCACAGCATATGCACCTGCAATAGGCTGGGTGTGTTTTCTTCACAACTGGTGTGAATCCTGTGTGCATACTGGGAACCCACCACAGGCAGCGGACGCCTCGGCTGAGGCAAGTTTTCACTGCTCCCCATTACCCTCTATCTAGAGCAAATCCAACGGGGAGAGTATGGATGCACTGCAGACAGCTTCACACCTGGTGTAAACCCCGTGTCTGGGCCGCAGGAATCTACGACTGGCAGGGCATATCCCTCTCCTCCCTACCCTGTGTGAACACCCCCCCACACACACACCCCGAGACCTTAAAAAAGTCTCGCTCCCGGCAAGTGCGAACACCCACAAAGTAGCTCCCCACAGAATGTAGTGTGAAGGGAATGTGGTGTGAAGCGCCGCCTTTTCCCATCTTGTGCCCCGACAAGCCTAGGGGGGGGCTGTCAGAAAACTGCATCGCCCTACATGTCAAAGTCTTGGAAGAGAAGACTTGTCCCCAGGGTCCCCAAGCCCCAGGCCGCGCGCGTTCACTCCACGGCAGCGCGCGCCTCCCCACACGCGCACGTTCTCTCCCCTCCCGGTGGCAACAGGGCTTTCCGCGGGGCCGCGCCGGACTTTCTGAGGCTGTTGATTGGTCATAGTCCCGGCCACCCTACAGCCAATCAAGCGGGGGAAAGGTGACATCACTCGTTCTCCTCCCCTCCCCCCCCACCCCAAACTTCCCTACTCCCGGCTACCGACGGCAACAACCACGTGGGGGAGGGGTAACAGAGTAGAACCCGGTGAGGTCATTGCACCGCCCCGGCCGCTGCTGATTGGCTGTGGGGCTTGCGGGTGGCGGTTGGCTGCTCCTCGCACCTCCCCCTCGTGCCGCTACCGCCGCCACTGAGAGGAGCCACGGCGACGCCAGAGCCGGGAATCCGGGTGAGTCGGGGCCCTAGGTCTAAGATGCTCCCGGTGTGCAGGGAGACTTACAGGAACTGCTCTGTCCGACTTTTTCTCCTCGCCCGGGTTCTTTGGTGCTCCAGCACTCTGTCACATGGGAGTTGTAGTCTGCTTTTTACTATCGACTATGGGCCGGAGACGTAAGAAGACTACCATTCCCAGCAGGAATTGCGACTAGCCGGTCAACAAACGCTCAGGCCACGCCTCCTCAGCCTGCTTATTGGACAGCCTGTTCCTTAGCCCTTCCTTCTTGCACCTCATTGGCTACTGTCCCTCACAGAGGCTGGGTTCCGGCCTAGAGTGCAGGGCGACTGGGTACTGTATTCGTCATTCTGCACTAAGACGGCCTGCAATTGGTCGAGGCTGATGCCCATCACTTGTTGTGGGGCAGGGCCCTAGGCAGATCAGGCGGTCGTAGGCTCAGGTTGGTGTCGGTCCCAGAGGGAGGCCGGTCTTGGACTTTGGCCCCTCCCCCTGGCGCTGCCGGGTGGGCGGGATTGGTCATGGCGAATGTCGCTCGTCGTGGAGAGGCGGAGCCGACCAGGCTGCGGATACCTATTGGTCTAGGACGGCGCCGGTCAGCGGGGTTGTGGCCGGTGATTGGCTGGCTGCTCCAGCTGTTGCAGGTCCATTCACCATTTTGTGTGTTGGAGTAAAAAAAAAAAGGGAGAATCGAGAGGGAGAGCCGGAGGGGGGGCGGGGAGGGACCGGACCGGACCGAGCCGGGGCCACGGCCCCCCGCCCCGAAACCCCGCTGAGCCCGAGGTGAGGGGCGGGGCCAGGGATGACACGGGCAGGGGGGATTTGGGGTGCTGGGGGCCGAGAAGGGACAGGTGGCAGGGACGGGGAGGGGGTACAGGGGGAAAAAAGGTGGGTTGGATGGTGGGAAAGGGGGGTAGAGTGGATGAAGTGGTGGGGAGAAAGAGTGACAGAAAAGGGGTGACGGAGAGGGGATGGTGGGCAGAGAATGGGTAACAGGAATGGAGGGGTGACAGGACTAGATCAGGGTGACAGGGAGAGGGAGGGGACAGAGTTGGAGGGGTGACAAGGAGAGGTGATGGAGAGAAAAGGTGACAGGTCCAGAGATGGCTGACAGGAGAGTGACTGGGAGGAAGGGGTGACAGAGGTAGATGAGGGGGACAAGGAAGGGGTGGCTGAGGAGGGGGCCTAGGGCCTGGGAGGAGAGAGGCAGAGGTAGAGGCGGTGACAGGACGAGAGAGAGAGTGGCAGAGAAGCTGGTGCCAGGAGGGCTGATGGGAGCAGAGGGCATGAGACCCTGAAGAACCAGGGCCTGGGCTTCAGGAGTTACTGCCTGGATTCTGAAGGAGGTGAGGGCCCAGAGGGCCTTGGGTGGGAGTTATCCAAAGTGGGGTGGACAGGAAGGGAGTAGGCCCCAGGGGCAAGAAAAAGGCTTGGCTTCTGGGGTGAAGAGGCCGGACCAGTCGGCAGGGTCCAGGGGTGCCAGGCCGTATGGTTGTAGGCCCTGGGTGGGGTATGCAAAGGTTTGTGTTTGGGCAGGACTGGGGCCGGATCTCAGTCCCCAGGACGGTGGCCCAGCGGGTCAGTGGGGAGAAGGTGGTGGCAGCTGCCCAACTCCTGGGCACTTGGATGCCTGCCCCAGTGTGAGAAGCCCCGGGCCCTACCGGCTCTGCCCGCGAGGACCCCAGGACTGGCCCAGAGAAGGAGCAGCCTGGGATTGGAGGGTCCACAGGAGGAGCAGGCCCCAAGCGGGAGAACACAGGATCAGGGGTCCTGGGGGAGCTTGCAGACTGAGTCAGGGGCGTCTCTGATTGTGTTTGGGTTATGGTCCTGGGTATCCGCACCCTCCCAGAGGCCCCCTTTTGGCCTCTCAGCTTCTCTTAGTCACTTCAGAGTAAAGTTTTTTCCCTTTTCTTTTCTCAGGGCAGCTTGAAAGGGGGCGGGCAGTAATGACTGTTCAGGAAGTGGGTGAGGTTGGCCTGCTGGGCTTGCCCTGCTTTCTTTGACCTTCTCCCACTTACCCCCACCTGGAGTCGGAGGGCATATTTGGGGGCCCCAGGGGGCCGGGCCAGCTCAGCCACCCTGCCAGAGGCAGCCCAGTCAGGGCGGGGGATGTGTGCAGGCCAGAGGGGGGGCTGGGCTTGCTGGGATCACGCTGGGTGCTGTGGGGGGAGGGGCAGGCTCCCATCCAGTGGGACAGCGAAACCCTGGGGTGTAGCTCCGTGTCCCACTGTGTGATGACGTGTGTGTGCCTCTGTGTGTGTTTTTGTGCGCGTGCGTGTGCTCATGCACGGCCCCGTGGCAGCACTGGGTATAAGCTCTTGCCCCAGACGTGCCCCTGCCTGCTCCCTGCCAGGATCTGGGGAGATGGCTATACCTGGCAGGCCTGGGGTGCAGAGCAAGAGTGGGCAGCCGTCCCTCAGGACTTTCAGCTGCCCACTCCTTCCCACAATGTCTGGCCATGCCAGGCGGCCCAGAGGGGGTGGGGGTGGGGGTGGAGAGAGGCTCACATCACAGCCCAGTCACCTCCTTTTCTGTGATTGTGTTCCTGTGCATGTGTGTGTATGAGTGAGTGTGCTCTCTGGACAGTGACAGTGCAAGGAAGCGTGCCCTCTGGATCATGTGACAGGCGGCACACTGAAATGGTTAGGAGCACAGACTCTGGAGCGGCCAGATTGCCTGGGTTCAGACCCTAGCGCTGCCATTTCCTAGCTGGATGAGTTTGAACAAAGTTGCTTGAGCTCTCTGTGCCTCAGTTTCCTCAAGTAGGGCTGTTGGTCGCACCTGCCTCTTAGGGCTGTCGTCAGGATGAAATGGGTTAATAAAATCAAGTTCAGCCCACAGTTTGGCACAGAGTGCATGCTCCACAGGCGTGAACTGTCACTGCCTTTTTGTGTCCCCTTGGGCAGTTACACTCACCAGCTGTGGCCTGTGTAGAGGAAACAGATCTGTGTCAGTGGCCCCAAGGAGCCAGAGTATATAACTCAGGGGACATGAGTGCCAGTCTGTCCGGGTGCCGGTCAGGGGCCCCCATGAGTTGAGAACAGCCAAGAAAGAGCCTTCAGGTATCATGGAGCTGAGGCGCTGGCCTCGGCAAGTGGGAAGTCTTGGGGGACACTGGCTGTTGGGGGGAGGTTCATGAGTTGCTCCCGATGATCCCTGTCTGCCCTCCCACCTGCAGGTGGACAAAAGATGAAGCCAATGAAGAAGGCATGTGTCGGCCTCCCAGGTTCTGGCAGTGGTGGCAAGTCCCCACCAGCCACCCGGGCCAAGGCCCTGAGACGGCGAGGGGCTGGGGAGGGCGACAAGCCGGAGGAGGAAGACGAAATGGTGCAGCAGCAGCCGCCGCCACCTCCGGGGCCAGAAGAGGCTGAGGAGGGTGAGGAGGAGGAGTCTGAGCGGGGCCCTGGGGCTGAGGGGCTGCCCCCGGAGCTGCCCCCTGAGGACCCGGCGGCCCCAGGCCCTGCTGAGGACCCCAAGGTGGAGGGGGAGGCGAGCCGCTGGGAGCCGTCACTCAGCCGTAAGACGGCCACGTTCAAGTCTCGAGCGCCCAAGAAGAAGTATGTGGAGGAGCATGGAGCTGGCAGCGGTAGCAGTGGGCCGGCCGGGGCCCCTGAAGAGCGGGCACGGACCCCTGAGGAGGCCGGCGCCCTGGGTGTCCCTCCACGGCCACCCACCTCCACCCGTTCCTCTTCCACTGACACAGCCAGCGAGCACTCAGCCGACCTGGAGGATGAGGCAGCCGAAGCTTGTGGGCCGGGCCCCTGGCCCCCAAGTGGCACCAGCGGCGGATATGACCTGCGGCAGCTGAGGTCCCAGCGGGTGCTGGCTCGGCGGGGAGACGGCCTCTTCCTGCCGGCCGTGGTGCGCCAGGTGCGCCGAAGCCAGGACCTGGGGGTACAGTTCCCCGGGGACCGGGCCCTGACGTTCTACGAGGGGGCACCCGGCGGCGGTGTCGATGTGGTTTTGGACGCCACGCCACCGCCGGGTGCCCTGGCGGTGGGCACAGCTGTCTGTACCTGCGTGGAGCCCGGCGTGGCTGCCTACCGTGAGGGTGTGGTGGTGGAGGTGGCCACCAAGCCCGCTGCCTACAAGGTCCGCCTGAGTCCCGGCCCCAACTTGCAGCCGGGCCTGCCGGCCGCCCCACCACAGCCCCCACAGCTGCCACACCGTGAGCCCGAGGAGGCCGTGTGGGTGGCCCGCTCCAGCTTGCGCCTGCTGCGGCCCCCCTGGGAACCCGAGGCCCTGCCAAGGAAGCCCCCTGTGGGCCCCGAGGAGGAGCAGGCTGAGCCGGGGGGTGCCCTGCCCCCCTGCCCTGCTGCCCTGGACCCCAAGCAGCCTGAGGATGCGGAGGTGTCGAAGATCAGCTTTGGTGGCAACCTGGGGACTTGTGAGGAGGGCGAGGAGAAGCACCCGCCGGCCCTGGGCACCCCGGCCCTGCTCCCACTGCCCCCGCCCCAGCTCCTGTCTCCCCCGCCCAAGTCCCCAGCTTTCGCGGGCCCCGGCCGCCCTGGCGAGCAGCCGTCGCCCTGCCAGGAGGGGAGCCAGGCTGGCAGCCGGAGCAGCAGCGTGGCCTCTCTGGAGAAGGGGGCTGCGCCAGCCGCCCGGGCCCGCACGCCACTGACAGCCGCCCAGCAGAAGTATAAGAAGGGGGACGTGGTCTGCACGCCCAACGGAATCCGCAAGAAATTCAATGGCAAGCAGTGGCGCCGGCTGTGCTCCCGAGACGGCTGCATGAAGGAGTCGCAGCGGCGGGGCTACTGCTCGCGCCACCTGTCCATGCGAACCAAGGAGATGGAGGGCCTGGCGGACAGTGGCCCTGGTGGGGCCGGGCGGCCGGCAGGCGTGGCGGCGCGTGAGGGCAGCACCGAGTTTGACTGGGGTGACGAAACATCGCGGGACAGTGAGGCCAGCAGCGTGGCGGCCCGCGGGGACTCGCGCCCACGCCTGGTGGCTCCTGCTGACCTGTCGCGCTTTGAGTTCGACGAGTGTGAGGCGGCCGTGATGCTGGTGTCGTTGGGCAGCTCTCGCTCTGGTACGCCCTCCTTCTCTCCCGTGTCCACGCAGTCGCCCTTCTCACCGGCCCCGTCGCCCTCCCCCTCGCCGCTCTTTGGCTTCCGCCCCGCCAACTTCAGCCCCATCAACGCCTCACCAGTCATCCAACGCACGGCCGTTCGCAGCCGCCACCTGAGCGCCAGCACCCCGAAGGGGGGCGTGCTGACACCACCGGACCTGGGCCCCCACCCACCGCCGCCTGCCCCCAGAGAGCGCCACTCTTCTGGCATCCTACCCACCTTCCAGACCAACCTGACCTTCACCGTGCCCATCAGCCCCGGGCGGAGGAAGACAGAGCTGCTGCCCCACCCAGGGGCTTTGGGGGCGCCTGGTGCGGGGGGCGGAGGAGCCACCCCGGACTTCCCCAAGAGCGACAGCCTAGACTCCGGCGTGGACTCGGTGTCCCACACGCCTACACCCTCCACACCGGCTGGCTTCCGGGCTGTGTCACCCGCCGTGCCCTTCTCCCGCTCCCGCCAGCCCTCGCCGTTGCTGCTGTTGCCCCCGCCTGCTGGCCTGACCTCGGACCCTGGGCCCTCTGTGCGCAGGGTTCCTGCTGTGCAGCGGGACTCACCCGTCATTGTTCGCAACCCCGACGTGCCGCTGCCCTCCAAATTCCCTGGGGAGGTGAGCACTGCTGGCGAGGCGCGGGCAGCGGGACCTGGGCGGGGCTGCCGAGAGACCCCAGTGCCCCCTGGGGTGGCCAGTGGGAAGCCTGGCCTGCCCCCACCTCTGCCAGCCCCCGTGCCCCTCACCGTGCCTCCAGCTGCGCCGACTGCCGTGGCCCAGCCGATGCCCACCTTCGGCCTGGCTTCTTCACCCTTCCAGCCGGTGGCCTTCCACCCCTCACCTGCCGCCCTGTTGCCCGTCCTGGTGCCCAGCAGCTACACCAGCCATCCTGCCCCCAAAAAGGAAGTCATCATGGGCCGACCTGGGACAGGTAAGAGATGGTGGAATGGCTGGGTGAGGGCTCACGTGGGACGGGGCCACTTGCAAACTGGCTCTCGAGAGAGGTGAAGCTCCCCACCTTGGGAGGGGCTCAAGGAGAGATTAGCCTCCCCTCTGCATAGATGTTTCAGCGGGAATTCACATGCCAGGCAAGGGACTGGACTTGGAAGGCTGAGTGCAGTGTTTCCAGAGACCTCCCGTTGGGAATGCACTCTCAAGCGCTCTGTCAGTCAGCAGACTGTCCTGAGCTTCGGGAGCCAGCCCCCACCATCCTGATGGGGTAACAGAGGAACAGAGTTGATAATCGTGATGACAGCTGCCGTGTTTGGAGGGCCGGTGGGGGCATCACCATGACAATAAGCATCGTGTGTGTTACCTCGCGGAACCCTCAGACACACCCCGTACTGTACCCGGGGCCTGTTCTCAGCCCTTTGGAAATATCCGCTCATTTCGCCTCCATGAACCTAACAGGCGGGGGCTAGGATTATGCTCATTTAAAGGCGACTAAGGCCAGGTTAGTAACTAGCCCTGGGTCCCACGGCTAGTAAATCCTGGAGCCAGCCTGCAAAGCCAGGCAGGCTGGCTCGTCCCCGCTGGGCCACAGTGCCGGGTCGCAGATGGGAAGATGGAGGCTCCAACGGCGCCTTCTGCCTCGGGGTGGCAGGATCAGGACTGGAGCACTCACCTCACGCCTGTGCCCAGTAAATACCACAGGTGCAGGCAGTGCCGTGGAGGGGAGCTGGGGGTGTGCTGGGCAGGCCTCCAGGTGTGAAATCCAGTCTGGCTGCCCTCAGGAAAGGGCGTGTAAGCCAAGAGTTGAAGGATGAGTTGGAACCAGCAACCTTGGGCTGGAAGAGCCTCCTAGGAGGCCAGAAGGAGCACAGCTGAGGGAAGCTGTTATGTTCAGAGGGCTGAGGCCGGAGGCCGGGAGAGCCAGAGGCCAGGCCAGGTTGGGCCTTGTCAGAGAGGGTGACCAGCCACCAGCTCCTTCCCTAGCACCTTTTTCTTCATTTATTAATCCACTGTTGACTGAGTACCCTGACTCTTTTTGCTAGTTGGTGCTGAGGACACAGCCCTACCCTTACAGGGCTCACAGTCCTGGGATAGACAGATCTGTCCCCAGACAGTGAGCATCCGGAGCAGTCAGGGCTGGGGTGGGGGAAGACCAGGAGGCGGGGGATAGGGGGGAGTCAGGGATGGCTTCTTGGAGCAGGGGCCAGGGTCTCTAAAGTGAGATGTGCAGGGTGTGCAGAAGCGGGCCTGGGTAGGCTGGCAGGAGGGCCATCAGGTGGAGGGAAGAGCTTGGGCAAAGGCCTCGTCGAGGCCAAAGTAGGTAGTTGAAGGAAGTGGAATCTGCAAAATCAAGGGCTCTAGATGATGGGCGAGTGTGGGAATGTGCGGCTGTATTGATGAGCAAGGGTTAGATCCCTGAGGGCCCTCAGGAGACTTGGGAACTTTATCTTGAGGGCATTAGGGAGCCATGGAAGGCTTTGAGCTGATCTGACCCACACTTGTACTGTGGAGGGTGAGTTGCCGTGCCTGAGACCAGAGACAGACCAGGGAGGAGGGAGACCGGATCTCAGGAGGTGGGGATCTGGGTGGGAGCTGGGACTGGGGCAGAGACTGTGGCAGGAGGGAGCCCAGGCCCTGACCTTATGGAGCTCCAGCCCAGATCCAGGGCACAGGGACACAGGGGCTGTGCTTGCCTCTCAGACTTGTATGCTGAGGTTGTGAGTTGTGTTTTTTGCCGTGCCCCTCAGCATTTCTTACATTTGTTAGTATAGTTGATAGGAGCAAAATTCCACAGAGAGGGGCACAGCAGGGATTTCTGTCCCTAGCCAGATGAAGAAAGTGAAGCAGAAGGACTCCATCGAGAACTATCCTCCTCTGCCCCCACCCCACATGCCTACAGCCCCTGACATTGCCTTCATAGCATTGTGTCACGTGACCATCACTGCTGGCGCTTGGAGGAGGATGGCACCAATGCAGGTGACCCGAGGCCTACCAGGGCTGACCCAACGGGTACCTGCCACCATTTTCCTGATGAGGAAAAGCGACAGATGAAGAGTCCCGATTGAGGCCACCCAGCCAGGGAGGGTCAGGACTGGGCCTTGAACCGGGTCTCCCAATCTGCAGATCCTGGGTCTCTGACTGCTGGAAGCTACAGCAGTCCTAATTTCTGGAGCACCGCCCATGTGTGTGCGCGGTACACGGCTCTGTAAGCGCCGCCTGAGCGTTTACTCACCGAATCCTCACAGCACCCCAGGAGGCCAGCACCATTAGGATTTCCAGGGTTCAGAGGGGGAAACCGCACCCCAAGAGGTTAAGTGACTTGCCCAAAGTCACCCAGCTAGGAAGAGGGAGAGCCAGGATTTGAATCCAGGCTGTCTAGCTCCAGAGCCCAGGCCCTTAAGTACTCTCGATAACAACGGTAACAGTAATAGTAACCCGTCTTTTATTAAGCATTTACCACGTGCCCAGCCCCAGGTGTGGGGCCATCTCATGGAATCCACCTGATGCTATGCAGTAGGGATTATCAGCCCCGGTTTGGGGGGGTGGGGGGGTGGGGCCTGAGGTTCAGGGAAGGGAGGCTGCAGGCTGTCTGGTCGTCAGAACTTGTCCGGTGCCTGTCCTGGCGGTTCTGAGCAGCGCCTCCCTAACAACACCCATGCTGAGGTATCCCGGCTGCCCTCAGGTTCCCAGCCAGCAGGTCCTTTTGTTCTTCTCCCAGAGGCCTTCCCAAGCCCTTGGGAGGCAGGCACCCTGGGGCCTTCTGCCTCTGAGGCCCAGGTAGGGCAGATCCTGCCCAGTGGCATAGTGAGGCCGTGGTCCTGTCCCTTTCTGCCCACTCATGCCAAGGCCTGACCCTCACTCAGGGCAGCAGGTGTGAGGGGGCGGCCTGGGACAGCTTGTCTGCTCCTGCCCCCCGCCAGGCATTTGCTTCCGCTGGGGGACGTGCTGGGGCAGGCGGCCGGCATTCTCCACATTCTGTGCATGGCCGGGCCAGCCAGCTGCCACTGCCACCTCCCTCTGACTCTTCCCGCCTGCTTCCCAGGAGAGGAAGCTGCCCCAGGGCCTGCAGCCCCAGCCCAGGAGGCCAGATGTCTCAGCCCCATTCCTGGCACGGCCTCCTTTCCAGCTCCCAGCTTCCGCCTGGCTTCCCTGTACTGACAGGCAGTGCCCCCTCTCCGCGGCCTCGGTTTGCCTGCCTTTGAGCCACTGTGTGTCTCTCTGTTTCTCCCTTGGGTCCCTACATCTGTCTGTCTAGGTCTCTATTTCTGGGCCTGAGTCTCTCTTGACTTCTGTCTCTCTCTTTCTGTCTGCCTCTCTGTATCTTTCTTGGTTTGTCCCTCCCTAGACATCAGTCCTTGTCTAAGCTTTCATCCCACCTCTCTTCTGTTTTGTCCCCCTATCTTGGGATCCTATGTCTCTGGGCCTTCCCTGGCCCTCCTCCCCCTCCTCAGACAGACTTGCTGCCCGCCTCCTAGCCCCTCACCTCCACCCTGTGCACATCAGGTGCTCCATCCCTTTGAATCAGTGGACAGTTGCTAAGCACTAGGTCCCTCACTCCCCTTCTTGGGGAGTGGTGGGAGGTTGTACAGGCCTGGGAGCCCCTTCTTGTTCCTTGACAAATTAACTGCCCACCACTGTCCCTGAAACGTGCTGAGAGGTGTCAGAAGCCATCTACATCCAAGCACCTGTTCCCAAGTCAGGCAGGAAGGCGGGGGCTGCATGGGCAAAGCTAGGAGATCCGGCTGTAGGGGAACAACAGGAAGGCAGCTCCTGTGCCCACCCACCTGCTAGAGGGCACGACCCAGATCACCCCAACTACCCCCTCAGTGCCTTGCAGGAGACACATTTGGTGCCAGCTCCATGTAATGGAGTCCCACATGTAGTAGGACTTCAGAGACCGTGCTTGGCCAGGTGGGGAAAATAAGGCCCAAAGAGGGGCCTAGGTTCTCCTCACTCTCCAAATCCAGATTCTGCCCACCAGAGTTCCTGTTTTGTCGTGAACCCCTTCTCTCCCGCCAGAAGTCCCTCCTCATCTCTCCCCGGCCCAGGCTGAGCAGCCCTGGGGGAAGTGGGTGGGCAAGGCAGACCTGGAAGCAGGCACAGGCAAGGATGAGTAGAGGGAGGTACAGAGTCTGGGGAAGCCAGAGGACAGAGACAACTCTGGCTCGATGCAGGGTGATGAGGGAGGTACAGGTATGCTTCTCAGTGGAAGTGACATTTGAACTGAAGCATGAGGAATGAGTGGATTTCGGGAGAGTGAAAGAAAGGGGTGTTCCTGGCCAAGGCAAGCCATAGCAACAAAGGCCAGGAGGGGTCAAAGTGCATGACCTCTCAGTGGCTTAGTGGAAGCTGGAGCTGACACTAGAGCCCAGGATTGGCAGAAGCGTGCCAAGGAGCAGTTCTAGCCAAGCCAGCTTGAATGCCGGTGGGTGAAGAGGCAAAAGTTTAGAGCAGGAGAGGGAAAAGGTTAGATTTGGATGTCAGAGATCTCTGGAGACTCTCCTGGAGAGGGAGGAGGCCTAGGCCGGGAAGAAGAGGATGACCTGCCCAGGAGAGAAAAGAGAAGGGCCATTTGTGAGGTAACGGGAGTCAGTCTTAAGGACTTCGCGGAAGAGACCCCAGCACCAGGAGCTGCAAGGGGT